AAACCGCGCTAAACTCTCCTGCTTCTTCCACAGTTGCGGCCACCTTCAGTTCTTTGTTCACTGTGTTCACTCCTTCAGGGCCCCACCACCCACGGCGACAATAGGATTAAATTCGTGAGCAATTCACCTATGGAGACCACCAAAACATGTATACACCAGGAAAAAAAAATACGTATAAATATTTTAATACTAACTTTATTGAGACACCATGAGATTCATACACGTTTCCTTTGGCCTCTACAAGTACAAGAGGTTCTCCAGCTGCTGACCATGAGCTTTCAGACATTTATTAATAGGGCGAACTGCTGAGGTGTGTGTACACCTTTTGGTGGACTCTGAATTTCTGTTGCCATAGCTGCTATGCATCAGGTTCTGCTGAAAAGTATGACTCAGAGGTGAAGAGTCTAGTATCTCCTTGCTTGATATTCACAGGCTTCAGTTTTTTGTTTTTGTTTTGTTTTAGTGCTGGGAACTGGGCCCGGATCTCTTGCATAGGAGCCCTCTTGCACTCTTCCACTGAGCTATACCTGCAACCGACCCACAAGTTGCATAAAACAGAGTGCTTTCGTAGTAGAGCTTCTTTAGGCTTTACTGCCTGCATTTGCTATATGTAACTGCATGTCCCTCAAGATGTCACTCAGCCATCTAGCTAATCCACTTGGGTACAATACAAACAGCAGCTAAGTCAGAAGGAAGGAAACCCTACCAGCTACTTCCTTCTACCTCTGCAAATAAGGAAGCACCATCTTTGCCTTGCAAGTCTGGTGAAGTTCTGTTCCTGTTGGAATTAACAACTATAAAATTTTTGTTGGTAGGATCACTAGATTTAGCAAAGAAAAATAAGAGCTCTCCGGTTGAATTTTGGTGACACACTCCTCTAATCCCAGTACTCAGGAGGCTGAGGCAGGAGAATCCCTGGGAGTTTGAGGCCAGCCTGGGGTATGCAGTGAGAAATTGTCTCAAAAAAAAAAAAAAAATTTCAAACTGACCATTTTGTATTTAAACTGGTCAACCCTATTTGTTGGGAGAGGAATATGTTTATTTCTAATACTACCTCACACCTATATTTTTACACTTTGAGGAAACACATGTGTTTTTTATATAATTTTTAAAAAGCAGTACAACAATTTGTATATACTTTTAGGTTTTGGAAACTGCCCATTCTACTGGTAGAATTACTACCAGTAATTGTCCCTTGTGTTGAAACTGAGGGAGAAATCCGTGATCTCATGTAATTACATTTTATCATTCATTTGGCTCTGTACAATTACAGAAATAAGCTACAGAACAGAATTCCCTTTTTAATGCACTTCTCTTTTGTCAAAAAGTTAATGAGACCTGATATTTCAAAATAATTTACTATGGGAAAATACTGCCACCTGGAGATCAGAGGCAGGTATGGCTAAGAGTAAACCGAGTTGTAGTTCCAGATGGGAAATCGCAGTTATGGTGATGCTTGACTTCATGCCATTCTGTCACTGGCCAGAATATGAGTCTCATGTCTCCTCATGTCTTCATTCAGTGAACACTTGCTAAGCTTGTATTGTATGCCAAACACTGTACTACATTCTGAATATGAACGTGTGTAACACCTACTTCCTTCCTTCAGGAGCTAACAGAATAGTTTGAAAGAGGGGTGGATTACCGGATATCATCTCAGATTAAGATGTAAATGCAATTAAATCTCATCCTACCTTATATAGCAGAAAGCATCTCTCCCTCTAAGATTACAGGGTAGAAAGTGGTTTGTAATTTTCCCATTTTCCTTGGAAGTTAAGTTCCTGCTGCAGATACAGACCAATAGTACAGACTTCCTAACATTATCAACACATCTTTCCCTTCTTCTGCACCCAGCGTGCCAGAGACATGGAATACAACCCTTTCCCTTGGACATCTATCACCACTTATTCATGGAAAGCTTTGGGCTTACAGAGGATTTCTCTTTCTTTTATCCTGTATAGGGGATTGAATCCAAGCCTTCTCATTATTTTCTGAGCCAGGGTCCTGCTAAATTACTAAATTGTCCAGGTTGGACTTGAACTTTTGATTTTTGGCCTCAGCCTGCTGAGTGCTGAGATTATAGGCATGCAGCATCATGCCTGGCTTTTGTCTAGTTACTTACAAAGTTCCTCTTATAAGATCATTATATCCGAAGTCTAAAAAGAAATATTTTTGCTGGGTGTGGTGGTGCACACTTGTAATCCCAGCTCTCCAGAGGCTGAGGCTGGAGGATCATTGCAAATTTGAGACCAGCCTGGGCTACAAAGTGAGCTCAAGGCCAGCCTGAACTGTATAGTGAGACCCTGTCTCAAAAAGACACACACACAAATTAATAAAAAGAAACATTTTAAAGCTGCAAATTTCAATAATCTGATGATGTTATAGTAGAATATTAGATATTCAAATTAGATATTCTTTGAATCAACAATATTTAGATGTCTTTAGTATAGTTTAAGGACCACAGTAGGAAATTTTACTCATATAAATTAATACAAATTTTGCCTTCAAAGAAATGAAAAACTACAGTTTAAGTGAAACATTCTTATTTCACTAGACTTATGTGAGTTTCAAACACGGTTATCTTGGCTAGGTGTAGTGGTGCATGTCTCTAAAGCCAGCTACTCAGGAGACTGAGGTAGGAGGATCCAAAGTTTGAGACTAGCCTGGACAACTTAGTGAGAAACTGTTTTAAAAATAAATACATAAATGGCTGGGCATGGTGGTATACGCCTGTAATCTCAGCACTAGAAGGTTGAGGCAGGAGGATCACTGTGAGTTCAAGGTCAACCTGGACTACATAAGCAAGTTCAAGGCCAGCCTGCACTACATAGTGAGACTCTGCCTCAAAAAAAAAAGAAAGAAAGAAAAGAAAAGAAAAGAAAAAGAAAAAGAAAAAAGAAAAAAGGAAAAGAAAGAAAAACAAACAAGACTGAGAATATAGCTCAGTGGTAGAGCATCTCTAGGCTTAATCCCCAGTATCAACTTCCTCACTCTCATATCCTCAAACTTAGCCTTATGCGCACCTGTGCCTGTGCTTACACAACTGTCACTGCTTATTATGACTGCACAACCAGTAACCTGAGTCTCATCTCTCTTTTTCTGTACCAGGAACTGAACTCAGGACCTTGTGCTTGCCAGGTAGGCACCATGCCACTGAGCTATGTCCCCAGCCCCTCATCTCTTTGCCTGGCCCTCTATAAAGATTTATTATTTTACTGACAGAAATACTGCCAACTTATTCAAAGCCAAACGCAGTAGTGAGGCAGAAGACTAGGGCTGGGTGGGCTGGCTGGGGAAGGGGGCGTGGCCTGTTAATTACAAAGTCTCAGGGCACATGCGCAGAACGCTTCCCAAAGCCCTGCGGGTGGACTTCCCCTGAGAACTGGAGTTGGGACAGAATGCCTTATCCGTGACCACCTTGAGGATGGGAGATACAAGACAGTGCCACTGAGCTCAGGGCCACTGTGTTCTCTCTCCCCCAGTAGTCTGCTCTCACGCTGAGCTTCCTTTCCTGCTTTCACTTGGCCCAAGCTCACTCTACAGAGCACGTTTCTTTTCCCACCTTCAGTAAACATAGAATCTGCCTACCTTTCACACTTGTTTAGTCCAATTCTTTGTTCAGGACAAGAACCTAGCAACCATCTCTGAAAGGAGACTCCAGCACCCCCAAACACAGGAACAATTTTCTTTCTTGTTTTGCAATGTGGACTGAACCCAGGGCCTTTGCATCTAGCCATGTCCCCAGCCCTTTTTACTTTGAGGCAGTGTCCTGCTAAGTCACTAAGTTGTCCAAGCTGGGCTCCAACGTGCTATCTTGCAGCCTTGCCCTCCAGAGTATTGGAATTTCAGGTGTGAGCCACCACGGCAGGCTGTCTGGGTTTCAAATAAACTTCATGCTACATAAAGAAGTGTTTGGGAATCCCTGCTTTGCTTTCCTTCCTTCTTCCCTCTCTCCGCGCCCCTCCTGCATTCCTCCCCCGCTTTCCTCCAAGCCCGGCCATACTGAAGGCTGTTCCTGCAGGTACTGCTTAGCAGCCTTTGGTACTCCACGGTGGTGCTACTGAACGAGCTCTAAAAGTCCAGCCAAGGAGGGAAAGCTGAGGGAGGGATGGTACCAAGGCATGGGCTCTTCTTTAAACCAGACACTTTGTATTAGAAGAACGTGGAGAAAAGATTCTGGGATGATAAATCATCTTCATATCTTGCTGATAACCATTCCCGTTTGACAACTACTCTTTCCCTTAAAAAGAAGTGTGGCTGGGTGGGGTGCTGCATGCCTGTAATCCCAGCACTCAGGAGGCTGAGGCAGGAGCATTGCTTCAAATTCAAGGACAGCCTGGGCCTCACAATGAGTCCAAAGCCAGTCTGAATTGCATAGGGAGACTATCTCAAAGGCAAACAGAAACTTTTATTTATTTATTTATTTATTTAAGACAGGGCCTTGCTGTATAGATCAGGCTGGGTTTGCGTTCACTATATACCCTAGGCTAGCCTCCAACTCGCAGTGATCCTCCTGCCTCAGCCTCCCTAGTGCTAAGATTACAGGCGTGCATTTCTATGCCCGGCTGCTCTGTGCTTTTAAAAAAGACCCCCCCGTCCCCCCCAAAAAAGGTAATTTTTAACACGCAGGGCCGTGTGAGCACGTCCCATGCTCGAGTTCGTCTTCTCTCTGCCTTGGCGCAGACAGGGATTCCTCATCCTCAGAGGCGGGAGGAGCGCAGCGTCTCCGCGTCCCTGGTCTAAGCGCGGTGAACCTGAAACTGCCCCTCCCCAAGCGCACACGGGGAAGGCTACCCCGGCCTGGGCTTGAAGCTCGGATTTCTTCTCATCTCTCCCAGCCTGAAATTCTTCCTCCAGGGAAGAAGTGCAGCAGAACAGTCACTGGCTAGGGGCACCTGGATCGCTGCCTTTCTAAGTCTCGGAGTCCTCATTTGCAGAACAGAGAGTTCTGAGACATCGCTTGGAACTGCAGCAAGGCATATAGATAAGGTACGTCACAAAGTAGCTATTAATGGCAGTAGTGATAGGATCGCATTTTCGGGCTCAGCTCCCCAACAGAACCGCACTTTTCGCACTGGCTTCTCCACTTGTTTCACTGGTTCAGCCGCGAAAGCACCGCCCAAAGTTCGGGAACTGTCAAGACGCTGTTGCCACGGCGACGCCCCACCCCGCCTCGCTCCTGCTCGAAGAACATGCTGGGAGTTGTAGTTCGAGGAGACGTTCACCGAGGGGCGGGGCCACTTCCGGGAGCGGCACTATAGTCACCGTTCCCACTTCCGCCGCCAGTCTGTATCACTCCCTGCTCCAAGTCACAGAGCCGAAACTTAAATGCCAGGCATGAGTCCCCCTTTGCACGGCCGTGGGAGTTACGCCTGAAGGCAGGGTAGGGGAAGTCACGCAGTGCCAAAGGCGCAGACGACAGAGACTCCCGTGGGTCCGAAGAGGTGGGGCTTCCGCCCCGGGAAAAGAGGCTCCGCCTCCTTGCGTCACTTCCGTCAACAAAGGGCGCTCCGGAGGCGCTGGTCTGGAGATGCGCGCCCCGCACTAGCGGCCGCTGGTGGTGCCTTCAGGGGCTCTTCGCTCCTTGCCGGTTGAGGAAAGGGACCCCGGCCTCGTTCTTCATCGGGTAGGTCGTGGAAGCAAAGGAACCCCGCAGCCTTCTTTAGGCCCTTTCCGACACCCGCTGTGGGCACTGTTGGGTTCTGGGCAGTGATGGGTCATCGCTTTGGCAGGTCGGGAAAGGACACTGCGGTGGCAGGAGCGCCCTTCCGGGGTCCTGCTTGGAGCAGGAACCTGGCCCTCAAAATGCGTGCTGAGCAACCGTGAGCAGCTCGCGCCTTCTCTAGGACGTTCCTTCGGCTGGGTACACGGGAAGGATTTCGGTGCCTGTGTGCCGGATGTTACCTGCTCAGACGAGAACTGGCAAGCCCCGAGCCCCCAGAGAACAGCGTGCTTTAGGAAACACCGCTGATTTAACCGAATGGTTTTAACAAGTTGTGAATTTCCTAGCGCTCTTTATAATCCTATAACATGTCTAATTTAAATTTCTCATTTTATAAGTACTTGAATCAATGGATTTAGGAAAAATGTAACACTGTACACAAAAAAAGAAGCGTAGAAGGATATTTTCAGATAGATGACGGTTGAGAAAATAGAACTGGTTAATTCATGAGATAAGGAGAAGCTATTGGTATAAATCGGAGGTTTTACATGTATCCCCCAGGGAAGGGACTAATGTGCCATCATAGAACTGTTTTAGTACGGGCAAATGGCGTATATTATGATTCATTTTTTGGACATGGATAGGTTATAGTCAGATTACATAAGCAAATTTGATCTTACAGTACTTCACTTAATCACAGTCCTAGAATTAGCAGTATTCTAGGCATGAGCAGTTTCTCTTTGGTGACATAACTCTTGTAGTTGCTGATGCTTCAGCAGTGATACATGTTTGAATCTGGTTTGTTCTTCCTAAAAATACAATCTTTTTTTTTCGTACTGGGAATCAAATTCGGGACCTTGTGCTTGCCAGGCAGGCGCTGCGCCACTGAGCTATATTCCCGGCCCAAGAATACGACATTTTGGAAGCCAGACCTAGCGGCCCCCTAAAGCTTCGTTCAGGCTGGGCTGTACGTGGACGATTTGCTTGTTTATATATCATTCACTTTGTACAGTGTCAGCTTCTTGAGGGAAGGAGCTTCATCTTATTTGGTGTTTCTCCAGGATCCACAATCATGGCTAGCTCATGGAAGAGAGTCAGTATATATTTATAGGGTGAGTCAATACAGAAAGTGATATTTTAAAAGGTCTGCTAGACAATTAAACTTAAGGAATTCATCCGCCTTGCTCTGATGACCTCTGAAATTCTTCACCCTCTTTCATTTCATGAAATGGGTCTCTGCGTCTCTTTAATTTTTGCATATTATAGCACACATACTTGATTGTTGTATTTTCTTTCACAGGTCTTAAGAGGCTGCCTTCGGCACAGCAAGGATCTCAGGACAATGGAAGAGCGGAAAGTGAAGAGGAGGAGCCCTAAGTCTTTTAGTGCCCACCCTACTCAGGTTGTTAATGCCAAAAAAAATGCCATTCCAGTAAGTAAAAGCACCGGGTTTTCAAATCCTGCAGCACAGTCAACTTCACAGCGACCAAAGTTAAAAAGGTGAATTATTTTCTTTCTCATTTTCACACTAAAGTATCATTAAAGACTAAATCAACTCTTTCTGGTGAACCCAGAGCCATTCACGGGCTCAACAGTTGTATCGCTGAGCTGCATCCCCAGCCCTGAAACAACTTCTTAGAACTTTCTCTGTCTTAGCTTGACTTTTAAAGCAAGAGTCATGTTTCTCCTGAAAAAATTATCAGAAAACAAGGAATTTTACTCTTGGAAGAATTGAATCAGATTTTGAGTTAAGTTGTAATTGGTAAAAAAAAAGAAAGCCAAAATATTTTTAGAGATACTTATTACTCTCTTTAAATTCTTGAGAACAGTTGTATCCCCCACCCTTGATACAGGAGATTGCACTGAGCTATAATGTCCCTCTCCCTGTCCCTGTGGTGGTGGCATACATGCCACAGCCAGCTATTTGTTATCATTGACAGCTCTAAGAGGTTCGCCATCACTGCCCTAGCCCTTTCCTTATTTTTTATTTTTTTATTTTTATTTTTCTTTCTGTACCAGGGATCAAACTCACGACCTTGCGCTTGCCGGGCAGGTGCTGTGCCAGCACCCTTTTCATTTTTTAATAAAATAAATCCCCAGCCACCCTTTTTATTTTTTAATAAAATAAAATTCAAACTGAACTGGCAGTCCTCCTGCCTCAGCCTCCTAAGATTACTCCTAAAATTACTCATTTATTTTGAAAACCTGGTAATTTTATGCCTGTGTCTTCTAGAATGTAAGATTCTGTGGGCTGGAGCCATATTGATCATCACTGCATGCCTGACAGTATTTCAGTGGCAGTTGCACATACTGTAATTTCATCATGTGTGGTTTTTGTTACTGAGTTGTTTTAACATAAAGTGAGACAGTGTGACACAATCTGAAGCAGTGAAGAAAGAATAAACAGGATTTTATCTTTTGTTTTTTGTTTGTTTATTTGAGAATTATTAAATGGACAGATATAAAACCCCTACTTCGATAAAACTTCAAATTTGAAAGGAAAAAAATGTATTTGCTACACTGAAACCTTACAGTCTGTGGTGGTTTAGCTGCGATTTTAAGTGAGCGTGGATTTCTTGGGGACCCTTTTAGAATGCAGATTCTGAATCTGTCATCCTGGACGCAGCTTCAGAGGCACATTTCTAATTAGCTTCCTGCGCACTCCCTGGTGTCCAATGGTTAGGGTCCGGCACTCTGTTTCATAAGCTCACGAGTGAGGTTGGTGTTACTGAGTTTTGGTCAGCACTCTTGAGTACCGAGGGTGATGTGATTTTAGTACCACACATAGAAAATGCAGACAGTATTTTGTGAGAAGCTGCTGCTGTCAACAGCCTATGAATTCTAAATTTTTTTTTTCTGTTTGTCTTTTTGAGGCAAGGTCTTGCTATGCACTTCAGGTTGGCCTTGAGCTCACTTTGTAGCTTAGGCGGGTCTCAGACTTTCGACGACCTCCTGCCTCAGCCTCCCAAGTGCTGGGATAACAGGCGTGTGCCACCACGCCTGGCTGAATTCTAAATTTCTTATTAAGGGTTATTAGTTTTTCTTGTGCTTCATCCTGTCCTTGCTCATATATATATATCCTGTTTATCTTCTTATTGTGAGCACCATTCAAGAGGTGCCCATTCAACATTATGTAAAAACGCATTGCATACTAAATTTGTGTGTGTGTGTATAAGAGAGAGAGAGAGATCTGTAGTACCCATTGGGTTATAAAGATACCGTGTTTTATCTGTTTAACCTGTATTTGTGTGTTAAGCCTTTTTTTTCCCAACATTAGGGAGTGAGTCTGGGGTGTCACTCTGTCTATATCCCTAACCCTTTTAATTTTGAGACAGGATCTTGGTAAGTGGCTCAGGTTGACCTCCGATTCAAAGGAGGTCAGGTCCTGCCTCAGCCTCCTGAGTAGCTGGAATTGCAGGCATACATCACCTTCCTGGCTGGCCCTGAACTGTGTGAACTGGTCTCTGTTCCTATAGAGTAATGTGAATAGTACTTCACTCAAATATGGGAGAGCTTGGTATATGACAGACATATGTAATAAGAACTAATTAGTCCAGGGGTTCCAAAATGCCTTCCTGAGAGAAAGCATTACACTGAGACATGAAGGAAGTGTGGGAAACAGCCTGGCAAAGATGACAAGTGGAAGGATGCCAATGTAGGCAGAAAATTAACATGTAATCACAAAAAATTCATATGCCAACTCTCTAGAAAACTAGAGATTGAGAATGGTTAAAGGGTACACAAAGGAAGATAGAGTTTAAGGGTACCAGACGTTGTCCAACAGGCAGTGCAAGGCCACTGAAGGGTTTAAATTAAGTATGATCTGATTTTATTTTGTGGAAATGGTTTTGCTGCCTTGTGAGGAGGAAAGGGGGAGGAGAGGCAGGGGGCGTGGCCGGGAGGGTGGGGGTCCTTTGGTCAGGAGAGCTCTGTGGCAGTGGCAAAGGAGAGAACTAGGGAGCTGAGCTTATTTAGGGGTGTATGGTAATTAGTAGGCGTTTAGGGCTGCGTGTGCCTTAGGAAATGCACGAGTCAGGGACATTAGCAGGTGTTTGGCTCTCTGTCACGTGGTGAAATGATGAATTGAAATAGCTTCCTTTCTCCTTATGCTGGGCGTCTCTGGCCTAATGTCTGTCAGAGGATAAGACCCCGTATTCACGTAGGGGAACTCCTGATAGCTCAAAGAACAAACAAGATAAAGCTCAAAAGGGGAAAAAAATGAAATAAGTAATAATAAGACAAAATTTTCGAGTGTTTCCTGGTGCAAAGGTTCAGTATGTTGTACAAATGCATGAATTAAGCGTGGGGTATGTCTTTTTTTCTTTGAGACAGGGTCTCACTGTGTAGTTCAGACTGACCTTGAACTCACTATGTGGCCCATGCTGGCCTTGAACTCACAGCAGTCGTCCTGTTACCAGGGTTCTTGGGTGCTGTGGTTTCCAGAGATTAACAGGTTCTTAAGTCCTGAGCAAAGAATTGGGCAAAACATGGAAAAAGATGGTGAGGTTTTGCATTTATTGAAGGTAGGAAAAGAAGCATGCTCAGCAGAGTAAGTGCAGGCCAGTTAAGGTTCCGAAAAAAAAGTGCTCTGAAGAATTTAGAGTGGGCTACTGAAAGAGTGTGCGGTGGCCATGAGCTTAACAGCTCAGGTTGTACCCCCACTGTGATGTCAGATCTAGGTTCACCTATCAGAAACCTGCTTGATCTCCAGAAGAAGTGAAAATAACATTTTCTTTCTTTCTTCCTTTCTTTCTTTCTTTTTTCTTTCTCTCCCTCTTTCCCTTCCTCCCTTCTTCCCTCCTTCCCTCCCTTTCTTTTTTCTTCCCTCCTTCCCTCCCTTTCTTTTTTCCTTTCTCTTTCCTCCCTCCCTTTCTTCCTTCTATCCTTCCTTCCTGTGTTTTTTTGCGACAAGCTGGCCTTGAACTCACTTTTTAGCTCAGGCTGGCCTCGAACTTGAAGTGATCCTCCTACCTCAGCCTCCCAAGTGCTGGGATTACAGGTGTGCATCACCACACCCGGCTGAAGATAGCATTTTCTAATCATCTCGGGTGCAGGGATTGGGATCTTACGCCCAGGCTGTCTGTGACTGACAGGTCACGCCCTAATGTTGCCCACCTCGGTAGCCTCCTGACCTCTCCCTAATTTCTTGCCTCATTTCTGCATGGGACATAAATCCGTTAATTTCGTGCGGAATGCTGAGCATGTGGCCGACTCTGTCTTCATATAGCTGCTTCCGGTTAACAGGAGTTACAGGCCCTGCCTGCTGGGGATTATGTTCTCTCCGCCTACCTTGGGATGTTGTGGCTCACTGGGTGCGTTGAAAAAAAACCTGTCAGGAGACAGTAAGCAAGGTGTCAGTGCCTGTATGTGAGGAAGTGCTGAGCCGCCTGCTCCCGGGAGAAAGCGTGGTGCATGTGTCAGAGTCGTGGGCTTCCGGCTGTCGGCATCACCGTCTGAAGCCTTGACTGGATACTTTCAGGTTGGGGATGTGGAGTCCAGCTGTGAGCAGGAGCGGGTTCGAACGTTTCCTGGAGGACTGTCTAAAAAGGTAGACTAGGACAAGTGCAGCAGTTAGAGACATTAAGTTTTATTTTCATGCTGCTTGTGGAGGAGAAAACATGGCAGGCAGACATTAGATAAATTATCAAGAACCCAAGAGCCATAGCCCTAGCAAGACTGCCTATTTTGTGAACCTAATGAAAGACGGGCGTCCCAGTGCAGGGTCCACGTAAGCTGTGGCGGATTAGGGTCATTAGTGACTGCTCGTCTGCACCCAGGGCAGTACTGGAGTCATGGTTTTCAGAGCGAAGCCTCAGGTCTTTCAGAGGTGCACAGTGTAGCTTGCTGCTTTTGGCCATATTTCTCCTCGGAGAGCTCACACAGGCTGGTTTGAATCTAGCTCTCTGCCTCCTCTACCTCAGTGAGCGTGGCCAGGGTGGCTGAGAAGGGGCCCTGCCATTTTTGGCTTTAATCTGGCTTTAATGAGCACTTGGTTTGCAGGGTGGACCCCAGGCGGTGCCCCTGGGCCAGCACTGGCAGGGCTTTGTTCCCAGATAGTCAGGTAGCCCCTTGTACTTGGCCTGGATGAGTCAGTATTTGATTAAAGCCCCACATGGTGGCATGTTGGTAAAGTCTGTGTGCCAGGCCCCCCAGCTGTGCCCTGTCCTCAGAACAGGCTCTAACAAAGGAGGTGGCCTGGGCTTGCAGACCTGTCAGGTGGTCCCCACTAGTCCTAGCTCTGCGAACATTCGAGTGACCATTTTTCCGTGTGGCATCTCTTCCCATACGGAAAGAATCTTGAAAAGACTCTGGTTTTCCACTGTGTCCCTTGGAGAAGGACCAGTTTGTTTTCTAAATACTACCACTCTCCTCCTTCAGTTAACCCTTGTCCGGTGGCCCATTCATCTTCCTGGGGGCTGTGGACTGCTTTTACTGATTCTGAGGAACCAGGACTAAGGCTGGGGTCTTCAGGGGCTGTAAGGCCGCCCTGGCCTCTGTCAGCCTTTTGATTTCCCAAAGAGACTTTAGACGTGTCCCTTTGATGTCCCTTGCAGTGAATGACAACGACCTGCCTGGGAAAATAGACTGCCTTCAGGAGCTGTAGAATTTCCTGCCTGTGCTTTACCACGAGGCTGTGGATTAGGATTATAGCATGGCTAGTCCTGCTCCATCCTGTGTTCTCTGGAAGGCTTTACTGCAGGGAGCCTGGGGGTATTGCAGGGGGGTGGCAGGGCTGCAGAAGGCCTGTTTAGGAAACCTGCCTGGGAGAGGCTGGAGGCCTTCACAGTCCTCTTTGATTCGGTGTTGCTTTTGTTTGGGGAAGTGGCTGGGGTCTTTTAGTTTTATGGCTGACATTGCTGAATCTGCCTCCCCCGCATTCCATTACACCCTGCAGCAGAATCTACCTGGAGGTCAGGGAAGCCCAGCACAACCCTGGTAGTAAAATCGGCTTTGGTGTTGCCTGCAATTTGAGAATTGCCCCCACTTTTGCTAGTAAGAGAATAAGATACTTGGACAATTAAAAACTCACGGTGAATGATGAACGTGATCATTATGTACACCTGAAATGTACCAATAAACTTAACTAAAAATACTCCAGGTGAGCATCTGACCTTCTAATTAACATGTCAGAACCGGTGTAGGGATGCTCCAACGAGGGCTGTGCTCAGCTACAGTTATGGCTGTAGATCTAGAGGAGGGTTTCCAGGGAAGGAAGCGGAAACATCTGTAAGGAATTGGAATTCTTAGCCCATGACATTCAGGGTCACCCGGGGTTCCTGACAGGAGATGGCGATGTCCGTGGGCAGGGGCATTGCACGCAGGACAAGCAGGGCCTGGGTGTTGGCGTGGTGCAGTCAGGTGCCCGGTGTCTAGTTTCCGTGTATTTAAGGTAGGAACTCTGTCCCCGATTGGCCTTGGGTTTTCTTTTGGATGGCTTTGGTGTGCTTAAACAATTGCCATTTGTGACAGTCATAATTTTGGCCTTTTTCTTTCTTTCTTTTTTGGTATGGGGGATCGAACTCAAGACCTTGCGCTTGGCAGCCAGGCGCTTGTACCGCTGAGCTACATCCCTGGATAGTATTTTAGCTTTTTTCTTGGTGGTGCTTTCATCCTTATCTAGATCCATCCCAATTGTTGAACATGGAAGAGGTTGTGCACTACAGTTGGGTCATGGGGGTTCTGCAAGTGGTCGAGACTAATTGGATGTCTCATCATGATGTGTCAAAAGGAAGGGTCAAAGTCAAAACCCACCTGCAGACCTAGCAGGATCTTCTGAAAATGGGCCTCACTGTTCTCCGCATTGCTGGGTTTCTGCCGCTGAACAAGGAGCCTGGGCCGAGTAGTCCCCTCTCCCGGCACCTCTCCCAGGAGCAGGATGAGCTGGGGGTTGGAAGGGTTGGACGTACCCCAGGCGTGTCCTGTGGGGCTGAAAGCTGTCTGAGGCGCATGCGGAGGGGCCTCGGGTGGAGGCCTGAGTCATCTGAAGACAGGACTGACCTACTGGCTTGAGGGCTATAAGGAGCTTGAGGTGACCCCTGAGTGTGGCTGTTCTCACTGAACAGGTGGGAGAGGCCCCTGTCTCCGAGAGATGGGTGGGCGTCTGAGGATGGATCTTAGGCATTGGCAGAGAGCCGTGAAAACCTGGACGTGAAGGGTTTCATGCCACTCTCCTCACCTGATGCAAAAACAGTCTAACCAAAGAACAGGTCATAATTTAGACCACCATTCTGTGCCCACCTCCCACGTTTCCTAGTTTACACTGGACCGAACAGTACTGCCTTAGCAGGTAAGTTGTTCTTTCTCAGATTGTCGGGGTGAAAATGTTCTCAGTTTATAAGGACACAGCCTACTGGAGGGGGTGTTTCCCACGCATGTCCTGGGGCCTGTGGAGAGAGAAGCTAGGTCTTGGGTCCTTCACATGGCCTCCCACGCAGAAGGACACAGACTGTTGAGTCCTGAGTGGTCCCCTGTGAGACTGAACACTACCAGACCTCTCTGCTGAAGTGGCACTGGGACTCTTGTCGTGTTGTGTGTCGGTGTGCTGTCCCCGTGCTCAGCATTCTCCATACCCTGTGGCCCATTAGGACTCCTTAGAGAGGCAGGTAGAGCCCCCGCCCCCGGGCTTCCAACAAGCTACTGGAGAAACTTAAACTCCTTAAAGATCAGGGTTCTAAGTACAAGGATAGGGTTGTTATCTATTAACTTTCGCTCTGCCTTTGGGTACTCACAGCCAGTAGGCTTGACCTTTCCTGGTTGTTTCCTTTGTTCTGCTCAGGCCCTCAAGCAGGCTTCTAGATTACCTGAGTTTCTGTTAGAAGAAACAGAGAAGATCTAACCCAATTCAGAAGAGAAGAGGGAAGGAGGAGTCTCATTTTTTTAGCTGAAAGCAGAGGCTTTAGAGATTTAACAAACATGGAACCACTGGGACTGGGATGGCAACCTGAAAAAGTGACTGCCCGGAGGAGCCAGAGATAGGAGGCCATGTAGGAAAAGCACAGGAGTCTTTGAGCACGAAGGGGAAGGCTGGGGCAGACGGCACTCGAACAGGGTCCCAGACGAGTGAGAGAGCTGCACAGGCTCCCTGGCAGCCCCCAGCCCACATGGCCACAGAGGACGCTGCAGTGTCCCGGGGGTGCCATTGGGACCAGTGGCCTCGGGGCAGAGCCCCGTAAGCACTTCTGGCCGTGGTCAGGGAGGTAGGGAGATGTGGGGGAGAGGCCCACGGTGGAAGTGGGGGGCGCAGGCAGTCAGATACCAGGCAGCTGCTGAGGGAGTCCCTACCTACACTAATTTTTTCTCACCCACAAGCAAAACCAACCACTCTGACTTCCTGGCGGCTTCACCACACCTATGTTCCTGGGGTTCTGGGATGCTGTGGTTTCCAGAGATGCCTTCCAGGTTCTTGGTGTGCAGAACAAGGAATTAGGCAAAACACGTGAAAAAGGTAGTGAGGTTGAAGTTTATCAAAGGTAGGGAAAGAAGCATGCTCTGTAGAGTACACAGTGGTCCGCTAAAGGAGCTGTTGGTGGCCACGAGCTTAATAGCAAGCGTCTTTTATATATCTCATTCCAATGTCAGATCTGGGCTGTGCTACCAAAAACCTTGATTTCATATCAGAAGAATTGAAGATAGCATTTTCCTAATTGGTCCCAAGTGCAGGGCTGGGGCGAATGTGTCCTAGATCTCCAAGATTGACGGGTCATACCCTACGCTTGCCCACGCACCCAGCCAGCTAACCATGTCCTAATCTCCCGCCTCACTTCTGCCTGAGTCTCCCACTTGCTGGGTTTACAGGCATGCACCACCATGCCTGACTTCTCTCCATTTTTTATGTTTCTGGTTTCTGTATTGAGGATACTGATTTTATTTAGTATTTTTTTCTTTGATATTTTTTGCTTTTACATTTTGAATGGTTTCTTGTACTTAAGGGAAGCTTTGCTTAATTCAATAAAAAATTAAGCAAAACCTTAATCTAGAATAGGAAAAGCACGAACTAAAAGTTCACTGTGTCATCCTTGCAGAGTGACGAAGGAGAAGGCCAAACCTCAGGGTGGAGAAGGGAAAGGAGCTCAGGCGACTCCGATCCAACACTCCTTCCTCACTGATGTCTCAGATGTACAGGAGATGGAGCGAGGGCTCCTCAGTCTTTTGAATGATTTCCACTCAGGAAAGCTTCAAGCCTTTGGTAAGCACTGGATATTTTTCTTTTCTGGGTTTTTTTGGAACAGGTTCTCACTATGTAGTTCATGGTGGTCTCACACACATGATCTTCCTGCCTCATCCTCCAGAGTGCTAAGATTACAGGTGTATACCACCATGCCCAGCTCCTATTCCTCTTTGATTTATCATTGTCTTTTATTAGAAAAGAGAAAGACCATAAGCATAAATTGCAACTGTACTGGATTTGTCATGGAAGGTGATTTTTTTGTCTTCTAAAACTTCTGGGTAAAGCTATTTTATTTTTAGTTTTTTTGAGACAGAGTCTCACTGTGTAGCTCAGGTTCATGCTGGTCTTGAACTCATTAGAACTTACCATGTAGCCCAGGCTGGCCTCTAATTCATGGTAGTCCTCCTGCTTTTTTCTTTTTTTTGTTTAGTACCGGGAATCGAACTCAGGACCTTGTGCTTGCTAGGTAGGCACTTGTGCCGCTGAGCTATATCCCCAGGCCCCACCTGCCTCTTGAGTGTTAGGATTATAGGCATGTGCTACCACACCCAGCTGGAAAAAGCTCTTTAAAAAGGGAAGATAGCTTGTGTACAGTGGCATATGCCTGTATACTGTAGTCCCAGCTACTCAGGAGGCTGAGGCAGAAGGATGTTTTAAGTCCAGGAGACCTTATCTTAAAAAATAAATAAATAAACCTAAGAAAAAAAGGAGGTTTATTTGAAGCATTAAAGTAGAATTGCTAATATGGGATAGCTATCTGGAAAGTTTAATGAATAAAAGGGACAGTCCGCTGGGGGTGTCGGCACAGGCCTATAATCACAGTACTCTGCGAGGTACAGACGGGAGACTGGAGATCCTGTCTCAAAGTCAAAAAAAAAAAAAAAAAGGATGAGGAACATAGCTCATTGCAAAGGCCCTGATTTCAATTCCTAGTATAAGAAAGGGGCCGGGGATATAGCTCAGCGGCACAGCACTTGCCTGGCAAGCGCAAGGTCCTCAGTTTGATTCCTGGGACCAAAAAAAAGAGACATACCCATTACAAGAAAGAAAGATTACAAGTAGGAAGGAAGAAGGGGAAGAAAGGAAGAAGGGAGGGAGGGAAGGAGAGAGGAAGGAAAGTAGATGAGGGGCAGTCTTCATCAGTTAACATATTTTAGACGTAGTGTGTTAGTTTAGGGGAAAAAAAATCTCAATATCATTTCCCTTTAACCCTTTTAAACTCATTTGTGTTTTGCCCAAGGTGCCTTGTTTTCCTGTTCTTCTATTTTTTTTATGGAGATACAGGAATAGTTAACTGGTTGTTACAGTAAAAACTCTGAATAGCTATTTTTCCTGTTCATTGACTTCACGAATAATGTGGTTAGGTTTTTAATTTTTAGTTTGCAGCACTTTATAACCCTTCTCTAATGATAAAATTATTTCCCAGCATTATTTAAAATCAATTTTAAAACCACTGAGCACACACAGAGACGCTCACACAAGCGCATACATGCCACACGTCGACACACTGTGCACACGCTGATGGCAGCCTTGTCTTCCCTGCCTGGTGTTTTTGTGGCGTGGCCTCCTGCGCTGCTGCGTCTGCCCCTCCTCGGCCCGCAGTGAGTGGTGCTCACAGCAGTGTGATCTTCATGGTGTAAATACAAACGCGCACATCCGCCCCCAGGTGCGCATGCACAGGATTTGGGCTCCGTTGTTGTACACAGATGGGAGCTAACACGTTTTTCTGTGTCTTGCTTTCCTTCATTAAGCAGTATTTAGTGGAAATTGCTGCAAATTACCTGGCCTAGCTCGATTTCCTTCTTTCCCATGACTGCATGCATAATGTCCTTAGTTGTAAATGTACTGGTTTATTTCAGCATTTCCATTTTAACGGTACTGCTTTCAGCTTTGAGCCGTGAAGTGCAACCCTGTACTGCACTTCCTTCTGGTCTGCTTTGTTCTGTTTGAGGCTGTAGCTAAGGCTGGCCTTGACTTCGATCTTCCCGCCTCAGAGTCCCAGGTAGCTGGGGTTGCAGGTGTGTGCCTGTGGCTCTCTCCCATGGTGAACAACTGTCATATACGTTTCTTTTTTCAGCACTAGGGATCAAAGCCGAGGCCTTGTGCACACGGGCAAGTGCTCTACCACTGAGCTACGTCACCATTCTGACCTGGATTCTTTTTATTTACTTATTTTGTTTTTTGGAGACAGGTTCCCAGTATGTATTCCAGGCTGGCCTCAAATTCACCACAGTCCTCCTGCCTCAGCCTCCTGAGTGCTGGGACTATAAGTGTGCTCAATCATACCTGCCCTACATGAATTCTTATTTGATGCTTTTATTTTTTGAATGTATTCCCATGAGTGGGATTGTTGAGTTAAAGCATATCTCTGATTTTAGGTGGGGCATGATGGCACACACCTGTAATCCCAGCACTCAGGAGGCTGAGGCAGGAGGATCACTGTGAGTTCAAACCAGCCTGGGCTATAAAGTGAGCTCAAGGCCAGCTGGAACTGGATAGTGAGACCCTGTCTCAAAAAGACAAAAAAGAAAAGAAAGCATATCTCTGATTTAATTGTAATAGAAATGTCCAAATTGCTTTCCAAAAGAATTAACATTTTTCATTTCTATTAGAAGTTTATGAAAAAAACCCTTTCCCTGAATGCTCACCAGCGGTAGATACAATGTCATTTAGTTTTTGTCAATCCACTGGCCTCCTGGTATAAAGTACAGTAAGATTTAAGAACTTACTCTTGAATTTGAATATCCATGTGTATTTGGTAAGCAGTTGGGCTGTTTATTTCAGGACCTTTGTCTGGTTTTTACTTTGGTTATTTTTATTAACTTATTTACATTCGTTGTTGTCAGTTGCGATGAGCCGGTGTTTTTGTTTGTTGTAATGGGTATTGAACCCAGGCCTTTCACACTGAGCTACATCTCCAGCCCCTTTTTAATTTTTTATTTTGAGACAGGGTCTCACTAAATTGCTAAATGGCCCAGCTGCCCTCAAATTGAACGATCCTTCTGGCTCAGTCTCTAGAGTGCTGGGATTACAGGTGTGCACCCTTTTATATTTTTTTGATACTAACCCTCTCACTTCTAGGATGTCTCTATTCTTACATTGTACTTTGTGGGCTTCCTGGTATACTTAAGCTGTGAAAGTCTTTACTTTTGCCTACTCCTCTTTTATATAGCTGACTTTTCCTTTATAGTTTCTGGATTGCAGTCGTATACTAGTGTTTGACAAAAAGACATTAAACATGTTGCCTAGTTCACGGAAATATTTTTTTATATCCTCCACCTCCTTCCTTCTGCCATCCCAGGTGGAATCTTCAGAGTACTTTCACTTGCTCCTCAGCCTCCCTCCCACCTTTGAGACGTCATCTTTACTGCTTTGCTTCCTCCCAGCACCCTGCTGCCTCGACGTACACGCCTTTGTGCTTTTGGATTCAGTTCTGTCTTCTCCGTGTTCCATACTTGACATTTTCGCTAAGTGTTGTCTTGAGAATTCTGTTGCCAGTGGATTCTTTTCGGATTCTTTCTTACCATGTAATTAATTTTCTTCTGTCTTAGTATGAAAATGTTTTTTCTTTAATCTTTAAAATTTAGGTATTTACCAGGATGTGCTTTAGGACTGTGTCTTTTCCTGCCTAGGAACAGTGAGCCTGCCTGCCTTCCTTCCTTCTTTCCTTTCTTTCTTTTTCTTTGAGCGGGGGGGCTGGTTTTTTAAGACAGAGTCTCACTGTGCAGTTCAGGCCGACCATAAATTCACTATGTACCTGAGGCTGGGCTGGAACTCAGAGTGATCCTCCTGCCTCAGCTTCCCAAGTGCTAGGATTACATGCGTGCGCCACCATGCCCAGCAAGTGAGCCTTTCCTGTTTGTTGTTTCCACTTTCATCCTGCAGAACTTATCTCCTCCATCTATTTCTTTTTAGCCTGGTGGAGCCTCTCTTATCCTTGTGTTGGGTTCCCTTGATCCATCCTCCTTCTCTTTGATCTTTTTCCTTGTGATTTCTATCTTTCTGTATATTTTCTGTGTGCATTTCTCTCTCTCTCTCTCTGTCTCTCTCTCTCTCTCTCTCTCTCTGTCTCTGTCTCTCTCTCTCTCTCTCTCTCTCTCTGTCTCTGTCTCTCTCTCTCTCTCTCTCTCTCTCCACACACTCACACACATCCATATCCATATACTCACACCCCCATATACCCATACACCTTGAGGTATTTTTTCTACTTGAGCCTCCAGGTTATTTTAGTAATTGTTAAAAATGGAAGAAATACAATATATTTTATTCTGAATAAAGGCTGATTTTGAGAGAACCATAATTAATTCAGTATTAGTAGTTGGTAACAAAGTACAGTGTAGGTTTTTTTTTGTCTTTGAGGCAGGGTCTTGCTATGGAGTCACGCTGGCCTTGAGCTCCCTTTGTGGCCCAGGCTGGTCTCAAACTTGCAATGATCCTCCTGCCTCAGCCTCCTGAGTGCTGGGATTACAGGTGTGTGCCACCATGCCTGGCTGTAATGTAGTGTAATTATGAAGATGTTATAAAGCTTATTAGAAGAAACTAGTATAATATATATTAAATCATATTGATTAAAGATATGTACTTAACTTTAGCTGGGCTATAATATACCTGTGTAGTACCTTTAGGATAAGCAAGAAGTTGTTTTTGAAAAAATTATGGCATCAGGATGTTGTGGAGGCTATCCCTAAACTGGATGAAGATATATAGTGTGCCGTATGTATTTAAATTAATTGCTCAAGGCAAAGAATGTCACTGTAGAGGACTATAGCCAATAAATAATGTAACTTATCCTGTAGCGATTAAGTTGTCTTGTACTACTGTGTATACAGCTGGAAACAGTATGTTGTATTGCTCATGCTTTATAGTATTCTTCATGCTTCATACATACTTTCGTTTGTATTTCCTAAAGAAAAAATACATAATTGGTTGGAGAAATACTTTGTGGTCTAAGTTCTTACAGGACTCAGTTTCACTGAGATTGCTATAAAATGTTGGGTCACTCAATTTAAATGACAGCTGTCAAATAGGACATAATTAGATGGTGCTATTTTACATATGATATTGCTATTGAAGACAACGTGTTTTCTCTTTTTACACTTTTTTTTGAGCACCCAAAGTCATTTCTTAGGTTGGTCATTTTTTTCTGGTCAAAAATTTTATTTTTTAAATTTATTTATTTATTTATTGTTTTGTCGTTTTGAGACAGGGTCTCGTTATGCAGTTCAGGCTGGCCTTGAACTCACTTTGTAGCCCAGGCTGGTCTCAAACTCACAATGATTCTCCTGCCTCAGCCTCCCGAGTGCTGGGATTATAAGCTACCACACCCGGCATGGTCAAAAATTTGATTAGCAGTTATACATACAAGATATGCATTGTGTACTGCAAGCATGTACTAACAAAAATAAAAGGGGCTGGGGATTTAGCTCAGCAGCAAAGCACCTGCCTGGCAAGCACAAGGTGGTGAGTTCAATTCCTGGTACCGGAAGAAAAACAAAAAACAAAACAAAAAAAGACGAAAAATAAATAAATAAATAAAATAAAATTTGGAAACAAAGATATACCATCATTAACAGTCAGTTTACAAAAGAAAGAAAACATTTCTTTTAGAGGACTTAGAGGTTGAAAGCTGTTCCTCAAGGCTGTTAGCTTTAAAATTAATCTTCATTAAAGTTCTGGAATGTTTCCCAGGAAACGAGTGTTCCATAGAGCAGATGGAGCACGTCCGGGGAATGCAGGAAAAGTTAGCCCGCTTGAATCTGGAGCTCTACGGGGAGTTAGAGGAGCTTCCTGAGGACAAGAGGAAAACAGCCAGCGACTCCAACCTGGACAGGCTGCTGTCTGATGTGAGTATGCTTCTTCTGTCTACTCTCCAGGTTTTTTTATTGCATTGTAAATAAAGTAACAAAGTCACTTTTTAATCCCTTTGAGGTCCATAATTCAAGGTGGTGTTTTCAGGATACATCCCTGTAGTACTGCACTCTTTTTTTTTTTTTTTTTTTTCAAAGAAATACAAGGAGGTTATCACATTTACATCATGTGCTTTCAGAATGCCGGCAGATCTAAAAAGGAAGTAGTCACTTCACTGCATATTATAGATTTATGGATATTATATGTGTACAGATCTCGAGATACAGAAGCTGGTAATCCAAGACTTCCTCCACTGACATGACATGCATACTCGTGTTGTGTACTCAGGTGGCGGTTCCTTACTTTTAAATACAGAACTGTGCCGGGCATTTCAGGTATCGGGTGCCTGGCCACCATGTGCGTGTTAGTTTGCTACAGCGGCCGTACCCAGGTACCGCAGAGTGGCTGGCCCAAGACAGGAATATCTTTTCTCACAGTGCTGGAGGCTGAAAGTCTGAGGTCAGGGTGTTGACAGCACTGGTTTCTGCTGAGGCCTCTGGCCGTGGTTGTAGGTGGCGTCTCTGTGTTCATCTGTATCTGGTTTCTTCTCCTTATAAGGGCAGCGGTCACACTGGGGCAGGGCCCACCTTCGTGACCTCATCTTGACTTAATCGCCTCTCTGCAGGTCTGCAGCTCCTCAGCCCCTGAGCTTCTCTGGCTGATGACTAAAACCTAGGAATTTGGGGAGAGCGCACACACTGCAGCCTGTAACACCCTCGTGTAGCTGTTAGTTAAATTAGATTTGTCTCCTTAAATCCTTTTTGGAACAAAAATAAAAGAAAATTGAATTCAACTCGCTTTATATGAAATCCTGTACTTATCACGGACTGACAGAAAGGGTCAGTTTCTGTTGCTTTTTTTATCTTTTGAAAAAGTAAATATGAGAGAAATTGTATGTTCACACTTCTAACATTTCAAGCCTGTACTCTTTATTTTAAATCTTCCATATTTACTCTAGTCTTGCAATTATTTCTTTTTACACTGTTTTATTCCCCTTAACAAACATAAGCCTCATTTCCTATACATTTAGGAGACTAACTGGTATGGTTGCAAGGACATTGAATTTGAAAGCAGAAAGCCTTTTTATTTTAAGTCCAGAGCTTGCATTTGGGTTTTTGGGTTATTTGGGTTATGCATACTGTGTAACACATCTAGTAACTATTTTTTGCAGTACTGAGGATTGAGCTCAGAGCCTTTGCACTGAATTACATCTCCAGTCCTTTTTTTATTTTTTACTTTGAGGCATTGTCTCACTAAGTTGCCCAGGCTGTTTAACATTTTTGTAATGCAGTACTTTTCTTCTGTAAATTGAGGGGTACTGTGATCTGCATGTTTGTGTCCTCCCAGACATCCTGTGTGGAAGTCTTCACCCCAGAGGTAATGGTAGTAGGAGCTGGGGCTTTGGGAGATAAGAATGGGATCATAGTCCTGCTCAGTCCAACCCAAGAGGGAGCCATAACTGTCTTCTACCTTGTGAGGACACTCCCAGAAGGCGCCATGATGTAAACCAGGAAGTGGGTCCTCATCAGACCCCAAATCTGCTGGCGTGTTAGTCAGGGACTTCTGGTTCCCTGAACTGTGAGAAGTGAGTTTCTGTTATTTAAGCTACTGCAGTAGTTGAGGGTGTTTTGTTATAGCAGTGCAAACAGACTAAGACAACGGACGGTACGTTCCACTTTGTACTGAAAACTGAATTAACATGTGAAATACTTTTGTGATTCATAAAGCTTTCAAAGATTGTGATCATTAAAATGGCAAGTTTTTTTCTTTTACAGCTACCATTAGACATTGTTGTAATTATGCATAGTTCTAGGGGATATTTACAAAACTCCACTTTTTGTCATCATTTTCACTTTCTCCTCATATTCTTGTTTTATAATTAAAATTCCTTTATAATTATTTTATAAAAGTAATTTCCAAGCCTGAAAAGGTTTTGAAAATTTTTTTTCTTAAAAAGCTTTTTCTTTCCCTGGATGTGGTGGTATATACCTGTAATCCCAGCGCTCCGGCTGAGGAAGCAGGCTTACCGTGCGTCCAAGGCCAGCCTGAATTACACAGCCAGACTATGGCTCAAAAAATTTTGTTCTTTCATTTAAAGAAGGCTTAAATGAAATGCTATTTTAAAAGGTATAGTTAACAATGTGTAGTTAACAGTGACCTGCTTATGTATATTTCATATATATATATCTTACTAAAATTAAATTTGTTTCTTTGTGTTACAGTTAGAAGAACTGAACTCTTCTATGTATCCTTTGCCTATTACCAGCAGTGCAAAGCTTATCATTTATAACCCCTGGGGCTGGGGATTTAGCTCAGCGTCACAGCGCCTGCCTGGCAAGCGCAAGTTTGTGAGTTCAATTCCCGGTATCGGAAAAAAAAACAAACAAAAAAGACACTTATAATCCCCAACGTATTTTGTAAAGATGCTCACTGAGGCTCAGTGAGCCGACATGCAGTATTATCTCCTTGGGGCCATCTCTGTTTCCCTCTGATTTCCAAGTGGAATTTTCTCATTCTTTTGTGTGCTAAAATTGTGTTTGTTTCTGATTGGCTCTCCTTTGTTTTTATTATTTTTTTAATTTAAAAAAATTAATTATTATTTTTAAGTCATGAGGGTTGAAGATGTGGCTAGTTACTATAGAAATTATTTTGACTCTTAGATTCTGAAGCTAACTGGCATTTGGACGTACTGAGATAGTATATTTAATTAAATATCAGTTGGAGTGTTTTAGGTGTATAAAATTGAGAATTAGATATCACTAAAATACAGTGATACAAGGGATGCTTCCAAAGCTAATGAAATAACATTTCCCAGATTAAATGTGCTAAGTGTATTATAGACTTAGCATACAGGAGAACAATCAGGTACACACAGAGTATTCTGGTTTTAATATTTTAATCTAGAGTAGTATTTCAGGACTTTTCCAGATGTGCTCTTGAACATAATGGAGGCACAGTTGTTAGGCACATAAGAGCAGCAGGAAATTATCCTGGCTATAAAATAGTAATTAATTTGAGAGTTAAACTACCTCCTTTTAACCAGATAATAAAATAGGAAGGATACTGGCTATAGAGTAGAAATGTGACTTCTGAAATTTGGTTCCACATTTTGACAGTGTAGCACTGGGAAAACTGTTTAACAGCTCAGAGTGTTCTCTATAATACAGAATAATTGCTACATGTAATGATGTGTATGGGAAATTTTTTAAATTATATGGAATATGTATGTTACTATTATTGATATTATATATTGGTATTAATTGCTCAAAATTGTGTAGTAATAATTAGCAGCTAGCCTTTAAGAATACTCAGTGTCTTAGTTACTTTTCTCATTGCTGAGACAAAACACCTAATACCCAAAGTTAAAGGAGGAAAGGTTTACCTCAGTTCACAGTCTGTAGAGGTTCAGTCCATAGTTGGCTGGCGTCAAGGCAGGTGGCATGGCAGAGGGCATCGCAGAAGAGAAACAGTCCAGGGCAGAGCAGGCCGGAGACAAGGAAGTACCAAGCAGCGAGCCTGCCTTCTTTTCCCCTGTATTCCATCCAGGCTACAAGCCTGTTGATTGGTGCCACCCATCCCCAGGGTGGGGTTTCCATTGTCAGTACTCTTAATCCCAGTGTCACATCCTTTATCCACATTCACACACCCTAATCCAGCCACCTCAAAACTCCCCCTGTGACTGCATGAGGCTTTAGGGGGACATCTAGATACAAGCCATCATACTCACTATTCACCAGGTATTGTGTGAGGGGCTTTATACACATGATCTCATTTGGTTCTATCTGGAAGTAGGTGGTATTATACTCCCCATTTTGCAGATGAGGAAAATAGATTTTGAGAAGCTACATTTACTGTGGAGAGAAATTAATGTAAGGTATCCTTACAAGAAAAACTTAAGGGGGCCAATTTTGAGTTGATTAGGAACTTTTTATAGAAGTAGTTCTTGCTTCTTTACTCTTTTCATTATATTCCTTCTGTGCTTTATATTCATGGTATGCTTATAACACTTAAGCACCTCCTGTCCTCTTACGTAAGTTTTTGATGAACATTTAGACTTACTTCACCACTTTCCTTAATGTAACTGGTGGTGGAATTTATCTGCCACACAGGGAGGCATGGGATGGTGCAGAGTGTAAGCTTTTGCACGCTTGGTTTAAAATCTGCTCAAGTAGCTGTGTACACTTGAGCAAAGTCTGACAGCCTTGTTTCCTCATCTGTGGTAAATGTTCTCTATGTGTTCAATCTTTCATCTCCTGATTCCGCTCTCTGTCATCACTACCTTTGTTATTTCAATCTCCAGGAATATTTAAAAATCCCTTCTCTAACCACAGCAGACATTGATAATCAGCTGTGCTGTTAAGCTTGGACATGGCTGTGAAATCTACTTGGTGTCACTTAACTACAGTTGTCAGGTGTTGTCAGTTCTGCTTTTATTCTTCCTTCATCCTCTGTGATAACCCAGACCCCTGTCACCTGATTGTGTAACTGTTCCGTTCTCCGTTCCAATCTAGGGCTTTACTGTTCAGTACGTTGGATCCGCATGGCTGTTGAGCTCATTAAATGTGACTAATATGAATTAAAATATGTAGAAGCATAATAAGCACACCTGGTTTGAAAGACTTCATATAAAAAATATATCTTGAGGTTTGTAATGGTTTATCTGGGTAAAAAATATTTAAGAAATGATTAAAATTGGTTTCACTTCTTTTTCCTTTTAACATGGGCTCTGAAATTTAAAAATTATATCTATGGCTTGCATTCCATTTCTATTGGACAATGCTGCTTCAGACTTTAGACAGTGTTACTAAATTGATACTACTAAAATATTACTTGCCATTTTATTTCTTGTCAATTTTTAAACCATGCTGAACCTTTTAAAGGCTTTCAAAAATTTGGTCACATCCTGTACATCATGTTATTTTCATTGCCGTTAAGGTCATGGTTTTTTGGGGTTTTTTTGTTCGTTTGTTTTTTGAGACAGGGTCTCACTATATAGCCCAGGCTGGCCTCAAACTCGCAACAATCTTCTTGCTTCAGTCTCCCAAGTTCTGAGATTATGGGCATGTGCCACCATGGCTGGCTTATGTTTTGGCTGTCCACAAACTCATGACATTCATTCTCATCGTTATAGAGTCCCGCTCAGTGCCCCTTTCTCCTTATCAAATTGCATTCCAGCTGAGCTGACTGCTTCCATCGAGTATTTTGCCTGTCCTTAAGCCAGCTGTTAGCTTCTCATTATTGTAACAAAATACCTGAGATAAATCAAATGAAAAGGAAGAAAGGTTGCTTTGGGCTCACAGATTCAGAGGCTTCAGTCCAGGATTGGTCGGCGTGTTGATTTAGGCCCCCAGTGGTACCGTGTGTCACAGGGAGGAAAGCGCTCACCTCATGGTGGCCAGAAGTACAGAAAGAGGAAGGGGAGAGGGTCTCAGTACTCCTTCAGGGTCTGCCCATAGACACCTAACTTCCTGTCACTAATACCCACCTCTGTTTTGTTGTTAAGACAAAGTCTTACTGTGTTGCGCATGCCACAGAACTCCTGGGCTCACGCAGTCCCCTGCTTCAGCCTCCTGAGTAGTTCTGACTACAGCTGTGTACCCCCCACCTTACAGGTTCCACCACCTCTGGATAGTGCTACAGGCTGGTGTCCAAGTGCATCTTTAACATGTTCAAGATCCAAACTGTAGAACTAGTGGTGTGCCTTACTTTATTATCTGTTGATTCTTACATGTGTTAAACCTCATCCTTCCCTTTGAACGGGAATGCCTTTGATGGCTGTGCTCACATGTGCGCATTTTGCAGCCTCTGCCGTGCATGTATTGCTAGCGTTTAGCTGCTCTCAATGCATCCATACTATGATTTGAACTGGGTCTTGAAAAACAGGCAGTGTCTGGGTAAATGTGTATGTTAAAGAGGAAGATGAAAGGTGATAATGCAAAAGGAAGAGAATAAGATATCAGGAATCCATCCCAATTCCTGTGTGTGTGCGTGTGTGTGTGTGTGCGTGCACATTTGTGTGTACATTCCTGGGAACTGAACACAGAACCTTTGCACTAAGCTGCATCCCCAGTCCTTTTTTATTATTATTGTTGTTGTTGTTACTTATTTTGAAACAGGTTCTTGCTAAATTGGAGAATTGCCCAAACTGGACTTAATTTGTATCCTTCCTGCCTCAGCCTCCCACGTGCTCCTGTGGCTGCCTCAAGAGCCACGTTGTGTGGCTGGATCAGTCTTAAGTCAGTGATTTTTAAAACTCTTCTAATTTGAGACACTCCTTATATTTAGAAGTTGTGCTAGGTGTGGTGGTGCACACCTGTAATCCCAGCGCTTGAGAGGCTGAAGCAGAAGGATAGGCGTGAGTTCGAGGCCAGCCTGGGCTACATAGTGAGTTCAAGGTCAGCCTGAACTGCATTGCAAAATCCTGTCTCAAAAAAGAAAAGTATAAAAATCGTGTTACTGCATCTAAGTGTCTCAGTAACACAGCGGCTTTCCCTGTGAGCATATTTCCTTTCTTTCCTTCCTTTTCTCCAAATCCCTCTGCCTTTCAGTTCCTGAGTGCAACTTCCCCAAATTTAAGAGAAGTACTCGTTATACAAGGAAAGCCTTCTTAACAGATGACTTCAGACAGAAGCTGCACTTGGCAGATGCACAGGGCGTTCCGAACACTTCCACCAGCTAAACTGCAACGCCGCCTGCCTGCCTGGGATCTGCAGCGAAGCTGCGCTCTCTACTTTCCAGCTGAATCCAGTAGCAGAACCCTCTCTCTCCACAGGAGTGACAGCAATTAAAGTGCAAGTGCAATGATCATTTCCACACACTGCTCTCAGTAAGTCCGCTTGTGCTCATGCACCCGGCGCCCGCCGGCCTGTGCAGGCTCTCAGGAGCCCTGCAGGCTCGGCTGCTCGCTTCCCTCTGTTGCCTTATGGGTGATACTTGAAATGCGTTGTGCTCAAAGCGCTCGCTGGGCCGCAGGCTGCGTCCTTCCCGAGTGCCGCACTTACCCAGGGGCTGGTGCGCAGGCTTCTTGTGGCAGCCCAGCTTCCGTTCACCTTAGACAATCAGCACACACGCAGGTGTGTGTTCAGTGGCCAGTGACAACAAATTGTTAAATGAGTATTTGTGAGATTTGCTATTTTTAATAAAGTGACTGATTTAAGTTTAGTCTCTGTTGTCTCTTTGGAAAGCTGGTGCGGGGTCTTCACCCGGGGAAGAGAAGGCTTCCACTCTGAAAAGCACGCTCTGTTTACGGACTGTGATTGAGAAACGCAGTGAATGTTTAACTTTTTAAAATATTTATTACAGTTAGAGACACACTGCCATTGGCCCCCCTCAGGCCCCACCCCTTGCTCTGATATGAACACATTTATCCTATCACTCTTAACGCTTTCTGAAGCTGTTCTTTTTTTTTTTTTATGTACCGGGAATCGAACTCAGGACCTTGCACTTGCCAGCAGGCGCTTATACCGCTGGGCTGTATCCCCAGCCCTTTGTGAAGCAGTTCTGCAAGGCCTCTTTCCAGAACGTCTTCAGTTGTGTTGTCATGGCCGCCTCGGCGTCTGGATTCATTTAAAACCTTACTGTTCACGGTCTTTTTGATGTGGAGGAGGCACCAGAAGTTGCACAGTCCAGATCTGGCGAGTAAGACGGACAGGGCGGCCGAGGCACCGCGCTGTGTTCACAGCCAGCCCTTGGGTGGGATGGCGCTTGGCAGCCGCTTCACCGCTTTTTGTTGTGGTTGTTTTAATCACACGCTTTGGGCCGTAGAGACACAGACTTCCAGAACTGCTCCTGGAAGTGGCGAGAGCAGTGGGAGAAGTGTGTTGAGAGTGAGCAGAAGCGCTGTGGGGGGAGTGGATGGCCGTGTGTCCTTCACTAATAAACAGTTAGAACTTAAACATTCACTGTATAGATGGATCTTCCCTATACTTAGGCCTTGATTTCGATCCCCACCCTGCCCCCTGGCTTTGTGTACGTGTACACGTACTCAGGGTGAGTTAGATTTTTTATTTTTGTTTTAAGTCTAGAAAGTGAGCTTGATAACCAGCTGATTATATGAGAAATAATTGAAATCATGCACGTAAGTGATAGACATCCGGAACCCCAAAAATGGCGCTGGCCAGGACACACGCTTCTTTGTTCTTCTTCAGACCCTGAGATAAACTTCCTATTCCCTTTTGCGCATGCGCCAAGTAACTCCCAATCCCCTGGAGATAGGACACATCGCCTGCCTGCCCGTATTAACTCCACCTCTAGTCCAGTCTGATAAAAACCATTCCCCAGCTTCCTCCTCAGAGGGTCCTTGTAATCTGCAACCCTCCTACACTGGCAATGAAGGCTTGTTTTATCTCCTGTGTTTCTTGCTCTATCTGGTGCAAAACCTAACAGTAAGATGCTTAGCACAGTAGCTGATAGCAGTGCTGTCTTGGTTACCTTTCTTTCGCTCCTTGGTGAGACAGAATACCTGACACCTAAAATGAAGGAAGGAAAGGTTTATTTAGCTTACAGTTTGGAGGTTTCAGTCCATATTTGGCTGGCTCCAAGGCAGAGTGGCACATGGCAGAGGGCAGCAGTTCATAGGGGTGAAGACAGCAGAAGCAGCAAAAGTGGGAGAGAACAGGCGTCTTTTCCTCCCTTATATTGTCCGCATGGCATCTCTGTGCCTTCCTCTTCCACAAGCTCAGGATGTTTGCAAAGTAAGGACCCTGGCCCCCCCGCTGATTCACTTAGCTAACCTCAAGCTGTTGCGATGTATCAACCCTAACAAGGACAAAGCAAACATGAGCTTATTATCTTTCAGAAACACTTTATTAAAATAACTCATATGACATAAAATTTGTCCTTTTAAAGTCTGTGGTTTAGTGTTTCTGTTTTTTTATTTAAACAGCAGAGTTGTATACCCACCACCATGAACTAACCCTTCTTCTTTTTTGGGGTGGTGGTGCTGGGAATCAAACCCACAGTGTTGATGCGCTAAGCAGGTGCTGTACTGTTGAGCTACGTCCTCCTCCCCATCTCTGATTTCAGACTATTTTATCACCCTGGAGAGAGCCCACAGCCACACTTCATTGCTGCACTGCTCAGGCCACAGCAAGCACTAGTGAAAGTTCTCCTTCCCTCCTTCCTTCCTTTCCATAGAGGATCTCACTTTGTAGTTCAGGCTGACCTTGAACTCTTGGCTTCTCCTGTCTCAGCCTCCCGAATGCCGGGATTACAGGCATGTACCACCACACCCACCTGAAAGGTACATTTCTATGGGTTTTCTTTTCCAGGTGTTTTATATAAAAAGAATCATGTATGTATAAACCACAGTGTGTGGTTTATTGCTACTGGTTTCCTTTATTTAGCATGTGTTTTCTTTATTAGCATGTTTGTGGTCCGTAGTTCCAGTTGTCTTGGGGAACCGGTACATGTGCACATTGTACCTTAATCACCTTTGTCTTCCCTCCCCTCCCCAGAGCACAGGTCTGGCTGGGTCGCACTCCCTTACATAGATGCGGATGCACCATCTGTTCATCTGTCTGGGACTCAGTTACTGGATGTTGAAGAAGACTGTGTTGGTTTGGGGCTTATTTTTGCAAGGGAGAACAATATAATACAGGGCACATACTTTATAAGATTATTTGTAATAGTCACCCAAAGAATGATACACAAGAGTGCAGGAAATCTGTCCACAAACTATACACCAAGGAATCTAGCCAAGGGCCTGGATCCTGCAACAATGGTCCTACATGAGTCCAGCCGAAAACCTAGAGCTCATAACAATGCCTCCCACGAGTCCACCTGGAGGCCTGGAGCCCCTAACAATGTCTCATGCAGGCCTGTTTGAGGGATCTGCACTGCAAAGGCCCAAAGGTCAGTGGTGGAATCTAGGAAGTCTGTGCCAGCAGGATGAAGGATTTGAGCTAGCAGGCAGAGGGATCTGCACTGGAGCCCTCAGAAGAACGCTCAGAAGAACCAGAGCTCCCCCGGAAGGTACCACAGCCATCCTTAGCAACAGTGAGGTCCCAAGCTCCTCTGATATCAAAATGGGCGAGTTCCCATAAGGGAAGCCAACACAGCAAGCTTCTCCAGGAGTCTGGCAGTGCACCTTCTTGCCCTCCGGAGCCAGGAAGCGATGCTCAGAGTGAGGACCAGAGCTCCCCCAAAGTGAACCAAAGCCATTCTCAGTGCCAACAAGGTCCCGAGCTCCTCAGAGGATGGAAACAGCCAAGTTCATCAGGAAAGCCTGCATGACGAGCTCCCCAAAAACAACCAACAGCTCCTACAGCTTCTACCAGTTCTAACAGCCTCTCTCTGCTCCCAACAGCCTCTTTAGTTCCCAAAAGCCATCTCCTTCTCCAGTGCTGCCTCTTACGCTGCTGACAACAGTCCCCAGGTGGGCTCCCACACCCAGCACCACGCTTACTCAGTTCAGCTGGGGGTTATAA